TAAAAATAATCTAATCAATTAAAAAGTGCAGTATATATCTATATATATATATATATATATGCATGTTTGAAGGACAAACGAACAATATGGTGGGTGTTCTTAAATGGGTTTGCAAATTATAAATAACTTGGGAAAAAAGTGGTTCACAGCCATATATTGCGCATTTATTAATTGGGGGTATATTTAAATAAACTCGAGATAATTTTTAAACAATTTATAAAAAAAATTCACTTTGTACATTAAATATGAAATAGAACGTTTATATAGCACTAGATGCAGCAATTAAATTGAGATAATGTGCATTATCATGATAATGGCTATACTGTAAATGAGCCAAATATAAATGCTCATCAGCTGATATTTGCTTATGTATACATAAACAAATATCAGCTGAATTGAATTAAATATAATATAAATTTCTCGTTTCAGGTCTAAAATAAGTACATTTCCAAGAATAGTTTAAGTTTGTATTTCACCGAACGTGTTTTACCGAAATCATCATTTATTTGACAAACAAAAACGACAATGACAAAAAACGGCGATCAAATCATCGTTTATTGGTATAAATACGCCCTAATTTGAATGTTAAATCCCATGATATATAGCATGTAATTTATATTGTCAATTCCTGCGGTGTAAATATGCTATAAGAATACTATATGCATATTATAGTACGTTTACATTTAACCGGATTAAAAAACCTTTGCATATATGTCAAATAAATCCTCATAAAGTAGGTTAACCCGGTAAAAAGTTCTAATGTATATGCCGTTTTAAAAAACTTTCTCTAATTGCTACTGATTCAATATTTAGTATGTTATACGAATAGATAAAGTGCATGGCAAATAATCCAATAAATGTGGAAAAATTATCAAGGTTTTATATGTTCATGCTTATCACACACAGGGCACGCTTAAAAACTATAGAAATAATCGTTTGTAAACATAATATGCTGTAGCTGTAATGTTTGAAAAAAATAATAATGAAAATAAAAGCAAGTGTGTATTTGTTTTTTAAAATTATCTACATCGTTACAAGATAATAAAAATTGTTGTAAAAAAAACTGACAAAACGACAGTGCGTGAGAGACATTTACGCTTTATAAAAATTTCAATCAATAATGTCGTAATCTTACACAAGTAGCAAGTTATTACAACAACAAAAATAACCAAAACGAAAATTTCCGTTCATATACATACGTTTATACATATGTATGTACGTAAATAAAACATAAAATATCACTAATGTATGCGTAAGCGAAATATGTTTTAAGAAAACGTGAAGAACGCAAGTCCTCCACACAAAAACAAAAAATTATCATGAAGCATTCACGTTCGTTTCACGTGATCAGCATAATATACAAAACAATTTTGCTTGAGTTTTTTGTTTTGTATCTTTCGTTTCATATAGTTTTATTTCGGTAGTATTTTGCTGTGTGACAAAAATACATTTTCTTTTTTAAATATAAACTTTTTCTTTTTTTCTTCTTCTTCTTCTGTAGTGGTTACATACATACTATATGCATAGACCGCTAGGCAGCCAAACTGGCCGGATTGTAAGAAATTGAAAGAACAAATTCTAGTGTGTTTATTATTGCGCCAAAAAGTTCTAATCTTGTCAAAGCGTGACATATGTCTCGTTATTCTTATTTTGTTTGTTTTGTAATTGTTGTTGGTAAAATGTCAATTTAATTTGCAATTGTAAACAAAACACAAAATTTAAACACTAAAATAGAACAATTATCGGCGTTATGCCAGATGCATAATATGTAGGGGGATAGGTGTAAATGTATTAGTTTTACGATGACAAGCAGCAATGATGACGTCTATAGTGCTATGGTAAATGTCATTTGTTGTTGATGAATTACTAGATAAACAATATCACTTAATAAAAAGTAAGAGCAGTAAGGACAACTACACAAAGAAACGAATTTTAGGATTTTATTACCAAAAAAAAAGTTTATTGATTCCAAAAATAATGAAGAATTGTACACATGGCTCAACAAAATAAATTTTGATGTATTCCATTATCAAACAAAATTAGATATGTGTTATAATACGATGAAGAATCTATAACTAAAATTTTGCAATTTTGACATAGTGGTTTTGTTATCAGAGCCAAGACCTATTTAAAATCTCTACCAGAATGTGAAAACAGCTGTTTTTAGGAAGATCTGCTGTTCCTTAACTTTGCTGTCAAATTCCATTATTGTGAATTGACTTTATTTATTCCAACATGTTGTTGGATAGATAGTAATCGGTAAAAAAACTGACAGTCCAAACTGATAGTGTGTATGCGCCTTAACACCAAATAATCATTAAAACCAGGGCATTACAGTTACGATTAATAGAATATTACACATAATTGAAGATAATGGAAATGTGGGTGATTCTATTTACACAATATTTATATGACCTTCATACAATGTCACTGAACTATCTTTCATTCTATTAGGTTCTCTTGAGAAATGTTTCCAAAAATGTATGATGTATGATTTTGTAATGAAAAATATTAATAAACTAAATGAAGGTTTACAAAGTTGTACATTTAGCGAATAATCCATATCTAACCTTCACTCAATGTTACTGAACTCTATATGTATCAATAGCAATACAAGTATTGGCAAATATTATATCAAATTTTTAGTGTACATAATATGAAATCACGTAATGCGAATATTTTACACAAATTGTGGTTAATAAAAATCAGTTTAAATTACATTGACTTGTATTTGCCAATAAATGTACATATGTATTTAAATTGAGTACAATCAATGTAGATAAGTGTGGCGTTTAGTTGACAGAATTTACGAAAAGGTGTAGACACTTTAAGCTGACCTCAAACACAAGAGAAAGATTTTAATAAGTATTACTACTAATTTAAGAAAAAGTACGGAAGTTGAAATTTGTTCAATAAAAATTATAGCAATATCAATATAAACAGGGATAAATTTATAGCAAATCATAAGCAATGTTTAGAGTATAATCCTGCCGATTTTTAGAATTATGGTTATTAAATCATGTATTATTTGTTGAAAAGTATAAACCCGTTTGTGGGATGTAAAGTCCAGACGACTAAAAATACTATAATTGAACCAGTGATACAAATCTGCTGTTGGCCATTTGCAAAACAGAGTTATATTCGCACATAATTGTGTACTTTGTAAACGTCATGTAAAAACAGAACACTCTCTCAAAGCTCTGTCTGTCAGAAGACACTGTCAAATATAATACAATATTTGGCGCCAGTTTTATTTTAATACAACACACAATGTACATACACACAAATATTAAATTGTTCGAACCGAAAAAACCCACATAACGATATTTATTAAATACAAATATAGAATGTCTATTGGAAATGTAACATGACTATTTTTGTCTTGTGGCCACTTACTTTTATTCTAGCAAAAAATACAAGCTATCAATTACAATATATACACTTACAAAATATTACATTATAATTATTTTTTAAATTAAAAAACTACTTCCAAATACTTGATTAGAGGGCACTTAAAATCAATGTACACCCCCCATCATGGTTTATAATTAGTTTTACATGTCTTTCTTAATGGATTTTCAACAACAACAAGTGTCATTTACGAGTGTAATATGTAAGACCCTTCATTGTACAAGTTTCTGTACAATGTCTAGACGGGCACGAGACCCACTGCTTGGGCGATAATTAAGATAAATTAAATATTTACCCAACTGAGAGATGTCTGTCATTCAATTTAAGATAATTCAATACATACAGGAAGTGTAGTAGTATTTGAACAAAAAGATTAGAAAGTAAACATAGACAGCTAAGCATTATGACTATCAAGATTATTTGTTTATTACGGATCAAAGTTTATAGACGACGATGATGATAAGTAAATAGAAACTATTACAAAATATTTAAAATGTATTTTTTAAAGCGAACTCTGTAGGTAAATCCATATAAGATTATTTATGTTTGAAGTGAAGATTTAAAACGCCCTAAAACTGACACCTAAAGATGATGTTACACAAGTCATCAATCATATGTGCTGTCGCTTTTGCTGTGCGTACAACATATGAAATTTTGACAGCTCATAAGATATTGATGGCTTGTGTAACATACCCTTAATTTAGGGATTTACGAAAATACATGGAATTGTCAAGAAAATTGGCAATCTAAATGACTAGTTTTAATAAAACTGGTTTAATTTTAGATCTTATAATATGTAATTTTTAATGAAATTCATACAACCTTCAAATGTAAACAGTGATCGGCTGTTTGCTTTTAAGATGAGTACACACTATCAGTTTGTTAGCTTATTTTATCAATTATTAACTGTCCATCAACAATGCATATTTTCGTGAAGGCCTGTAATATTTTTTATGTATTTTTATATGTAAATATGTATCAGCTGATTGCCATTCAAATGTTCTCCAAACAGGCGATTAATTTATTTTCAGGAGTTTATAAATTCACATAATATGTGGAGTGTGTGTAAATGTGCTATAAGTTATGCAATAATAAGATGATGTATCAAAACCAAAACAATTGTTTTTGTCCCGTCCATCTGTCAATTTTTTTCTAGTAATATTTCACATGGTTGGTAACATTGCACATCGAATTCAAGTAGAAACTATGCACATTGACAGTTAATCGAATCGTCAGCAGTGCTAAATGGACTATCTATTTATGTTGCCATGGATCAGCTGTTTGAAATTATGAAATTACGCATGGCACAATAAATAGGTACCCCATTTAGCGCACGTACAATGTTGCCAACCATGAGAAATATTACTAAAGAATATTTGACAGATGGTCGAATAAAGAATATATGTTATTGTTTGATACATTACCTGACCTAAATTTTACAATCTGTCATATTTCAATTGAAACTACTGTGAGTTAATATAACAATTTAAATGTTCTAATTATTTGCTTTTGCGTTAACACACAAATTTAAAAAGTTTTATAAACTTCAATAGTTTCTATTAATTAAGTTTTTTTTTTGCAAAACATACCTATTATTTTCTGAACACTTATTTGTATCCGTATTGGTATCCTTGTCTGTGACTTCAATGGATTCCGTTGATGACTTGTGTAGGCAGGATTTACGACGTAAACATGATTTTGGTGTCATCGGCAATGTTGGTGCCGAAGACATACGTTCCAGACGACGACCCATTTCTGGCATGAAGCTTGTTATATTTGCTTTATATTGGGCGTTACTGTTGCTGCTGGTGTTGTTGGGTTGGTTATTATAGTTATTATAAGTATTATTAAAATTAGAATTGGAATTTAGGCGATTATTATCGTTTGACGATGTACCACCGAAATTAGGACTAGCTACACGTTGCTGGGCGTTATTAACCATAGCCTTTGAGGCCAATGTTATAACTGGAGGGCGGCAATAGCGTGATGCACGATTATGTTCATCATTACAACTGTAATCAGAAGAAAATATTGTAAAGAATTAATATTTTTAGGGGAAATAAACATAGATAAAGAAATAGTAAAACTACAACTAAATACTTAAAGGTAGTTTTTAAATGTAAACATTACAGAGAGATAATTGCATGCATGTTAAGAGATTAAAATGGCCTGTGGATTATAAATTTCAACCAGGTTAAGCTATTTTATTGAAGGTTTATTTGACATATACACAATGGAATTGACAATTTAAGCCCACTGGGCTAAAGAAATCCAGTACAATATAGACATACTGTTACATTCATAAATACATAGAATCAAACTATTGGTCTTGATTTATGTCCTAATATCACACTAGATCTCATTTCCATTTGAATTGACCTTTGATATTAACCGACCAAAATTATTTTAAATATTAATATTTATTTTCCGTCAAAAAATACCCACTCTAATATCTAACAATATAAACAAATTGAGGTCGTTTGCTATTAATAAGAGATGCCTATTTATTTGATTTCTTATGTTGCTAGGTGGTATTTATTTCCACAAAAAATTTGTTTAGTTAAATAATTTTTTTCCACAGACAGTTTTGAATTTAGTCATTTTTGTGGGATATGCAAAGTCATGCCACACTCCAGAGATGGTAAATCTTTTGAGCAATGGAAAATAATAATAATAATAGATACCATAATATAAACGAATGGTCTCGTTTTTATTATTGGGGTTACGTTAAATAACTACAGTACATATAATCGTCAGAGAGAAGTGTTTTATTATTTACCAATCATATGTTTTTTTCCTTCATGTTACTTACCATGAAGGAAAAAACGACCAAAACAAAGCGTTGCCAACAATGAAGGTGAATAACATCAAAATGTAAACACAATGTTTTCGGAAATAATAAATGAATGCCAATGTAAAAATGTTTATTTTTTCGACAGCAAAATTTTTTTACATCTATGTCAACAAGAATATCCTGACATTCTTGCAGAAAATACAAAAGTTTTCACCAATGATAAAATATTTAAATTCTTAATAATAAAAAGAAAATTCTTTTAGATTTACAAAATCGTATTTATTTTAACGCACAATATGAAATAACTTTTCAGACCACTTTTTTGGCACCAATTACATCTCCTAAGACTTATAAAAAAATTGGACAATTTCTCTAGTCTCTCAAATATTTTAATTTAAACGCCTACATTTACAAAGATTTTAATGACAATTATGACCCTCGAAATAAGAATTTTTATATTATTTTTCAATGACATTACATACACATGTGCTGAGGGTTGAACGCCACCGTCAATGTTAAATAAATATATATACATAATTATATTTTTAGAAAACAAAATATCTTCCGAGTTTTGCAAAAAAGTGAAAAGAAATGAAATAAAAAGAAAATGTGTTGAAAACTGATGGATAAACATAATGGGTGTTTTTCAATAATAGATTATATCCGCTTTTTAAAAATGAGTAAAGAATTGTGTGACAGATTGTAAAGAAGGATTTAAAATTAGGGATGTTTTAATTTTTTATTGAAATTAGCCATTACAAAACGCTTCACCGTTGCCAACTTTTGTTATAAAGGTAAAAGTTATGTTATGTTTATATCGAACGTTTTTTAAAGAACGTATTATTCATTTATCATACATATAAAGGATAATTATTTTATTATTTCCTTTGTATATATGTATGTCAAATCACTAAGGATTTCAAATTTACTCCCAGGTTCCAATATGTATGTGAACCTAGCATAATGTAATATTATGTAAACAAATATCACCTGATTGTTCTTTTGAAAATGAAAATTACATCAAGTTTAGAATATTTGCATTATTCAAGAGTAAGAACGCGTTTAGACTACTAAATCCACTCGTTTTCAAACGACAATTCCATACTGTTTAATCCTATTCACAAATCCAGACCTTTGAGATCGAGTGGATTTCGTAATTCTAAACGTACTTTTATTTAGATCATCCAAATATTTGTGATTATTAATGCCGTGAATGAGTCCAAATATTGACATAAGTTAATTTTTTCAAAGTCAATTTACACAAGATTTTTCATTTCACATTAAATTTTTTTTAATAATTAGACTTATTCAATTTTATCTGCATAACGAGAGGAAGAAAAAAAATAACACCACATCAAGATCAAGGCAATTTGTATTATGACTCTCTTTTTTTTAGCAATCTGTGTCCCACATTTCTAGAAACAAAGTTGCTTTAAAACACATGTGATCACTGATGATGAAAATTTGGATGATGACTATTCTTATTTTAGTCAATGATGATGAATTTATGGTGCATCTTGCACAATCATATGATTTCAAGGGGAATTTTAAAAAATGCGCGTGCAAAAATATATTTTTGTACGTCATTTTCTTATTAAAAATAAAAATATTTTCGGTTTATTATATCAAACAAAATAGAAAGAATATAATTCATCAAATAGAAAGGAAGGCTAGTATTTAAAAAAAGACTAGTATTTAATGATATTTAAATACAAATACGTAACAAATTGTATGTAAAATCTGAAGGTCTATAATGATTCATAATTGAATCGTTATTCGTATTGATTAATGATTCCGACGGAACAAGCCTCTTCTTTGCACAGTTGTATTTTCCTTATTCACCTCAAACTCAAGTACTAACACGCTAGGAATTAAATAATTGCGAAATAATGTCTACTATTATTTCGTAACAAATTTAAATCAGCAATAAGCCATGTTATCCATTTTTTAAACCAGAAATTTAGAAAAATTTAAACTTTTCCAGCGGGTGATTTATATAAAAAATTTCATGTCAAATGTATACAATTTCCAAGTGGTCAGATTTGCATAATTCATGAATATATAAGCAAGGTTATGAAAAGCCATCATCAAGGCCATGGCAGAATAAACATTTGGTATTTGTCGTTGATTTTTGTGTTGCCAATTACAATCTATTATTTTAACAGAAATTGGCATCACCTGCACTCTGTTCATGTTATCAATGGTCAAACTTATATTCTGCCTTGAGAATATTAGGTCATGTTCAAGGACTGTGCAAAAGGCAAGTTCTATTAATAAGGTCATCCAGGGAGACCAATTGGATATCAGCTGCTTCTCAAGTTTGCTGTCAAAATCCATTATTGTGAATTGATTTCCATTATGAAGACGTAAACATAGTAAAAAGTGTTGACATTAAATTTATGAAAAAAAACTGACTTTTGCTTGCTGGGTGACCTTCTTAATAGATCTTGGGTATTTGGCTTTGAATTTTTGTGTTGCCAATCAAACAACAATCACATTATATTACATTGACAGAGGCTGGCATCTCCTTCATGTTGCCACTGCAAAATCTTCATTTTTCCTTATCTTTACGGATATTAGGTCTATACAATGTATTTCACACATTTAAATTTATAGTTTTTTTTTCGCAGTGTAACAAACTATTAGCACTATTCTTGACCTTAAATAATTTCCCATTCTAAGTGTATTGTGCAATTACGTGCAAATAAAAACAACAATTCTCTTTTGGCACTTATTTCGATAAACAACTACCGGTTTGTTGGTTTTGGCCCAAAAAAGGATTGTGTTTTTTTTTGAAAATTTAAGTTGCCGTTGATTGATACTAGATAAATGTCGTAAATATCATAAATTCCAATTTTTTACTTATTGCATTTCTTTGAAAAAATAAAATAAATATTTGTACATTTAGTGCCAACGGATATGACGTTAATTGGCGATTTTGTCGTCAGACAGTAATGAATAAATAGTATTTTTAAAATTTAAAATTTTGTTGAAAATTAATTAGAAATTTGTTCTGTTATTTTGTATGCATCTTTTTGAATACGTGGGAGAAAGCACGCAAACAGGAGGATTCATTGAAAAGTCAAGAAAATTATTCACTTTTTAAAAAATATAAATAATGTTTTTCCGTACGTATAATATTTGTATTTAATATTTTTACTATGAAATCATTTAGGCTATTCAGTTCTCTTATTTTTAATCTACATTTTACATTTGAAAAAATCGTGATCATCTAATAAACATAAAACAGCTGACGACCTAATCAGCTGATTATGGTATTTGTTGATTAGCCTATGTTCACACCAAGCATATTCTAGTTAAACGCATAGTAATTTCATTTCAAAATAAAGAATATTAAAAAAAAATAATAACTATGAATATTTTTAAAATTTAAATTAAAAATTGAAAGGTTTTTTACAATGAATAAAAAATAATAATCTATGTTCCTTTCTCATTCGACTGCTTATAATTGTCATTTAATTATATTTGCATTTCATTAAAATTTTATAAAAAAGAGATATGCCTCCTTTATTTATATAATATCAAGCAGTTGTTAATTGCATTTTGAAATATATTATACATATACACATGTACTTATATATGTATGGTTATGCATTTCATTTACAAAAGAATGAAATATTTTATTTTCAAGACAATACGTATCCCAAATATTTCGACCGCTTATCTAAATATTTGTTTTTTTTTGTATTTGTGTGTGTTTATTTTTTATTATCTATAGAAAAAATATATATTTTTTAACAGAAAATAAATACACAGGCATTCAAACATATATACACGTGTCATCGAAATGCCCCAAATAGCTATTGATTATTTAATGGATTTTTGGTCAATATCAATTGACCTTAAGTGAAGGTAATTGAAAGCAAGTGTGTAGTTTTCTTTCATTTTGGGATATTTTTTTGGCCAATCTAAATAATTTCCAATTGTAATTGAAAATCATTATAATGTCTACCTAAATTGGAAAAAAATGCCTAATGTATTCATAGGTAATAACATTTTATATTTATTTAATAAAGACATTTGTGCCAAATCTATTACTTTTGATTGATATTAATGTTCAAAATTCCATATACAATTCGGAAAATAAATTTTTACAGAAAAAAAATCGGAATCTGTAGAATTTATTTTAAAGTTAAACAGCTGATAATTTTTGAAATATACTTCAATGTTTGTTATTTAATTATGATACATTTACATCGAAAGTTTTTATGGATTTATATGTCATATCTATGAAAAATTAAATTAAGACCAAAATGCCGAATTTAACTATTAAATGGATGAAATAAAAGAGTAAGTACTATTATTATAGAAACAAACAAACTTGTTTAATTATAAAAGTAATAAACAGCTGTTAGAAATGCCAATCAGCTGATTTAAATGTGTCATTTGTTAGAAAGCATAACACTGGATTTACAATATATAGGACAATTGAATACATGTATTAATAGACAAAATCTATCTTTGAATATGAACCAACGTAAGCAGGTGTTAACAATACAAATCAAGGCCTATTAATAAGGTCATCCCAGGGAGACCAGCTGGATATCACCTGCTTTTCATGTTTGCTGTCAAAATCCATTACAGCAATTGATTTCAATTATGAAAATGTAAAAAAGTCAACATTTTTGACATTAGACTTGTGAAAAACATCTGATTTTCGCTTGCTGTGTGAACTTATTAATAGATCTTGATACAAATAAGCTGATTCAATTGTCATCTGCTTAAAAACATAACCATGTGTTTACAAAAGTGATTCAAAATAGTCATCTCAAGATCTATTAATAAGGTCACCCAACTAGCGAAAATCAGCTGTTTTTTCTCAAGTCTGATGTCAAAAATTTGGACTTTGTTTACGTTTTCACAATGCAGGTCGATTCATAATAACGGATGACAGCAAACTTGAGAGGCAGCTGATATCCAGCTGGTCTCCCTGAATGACCTTGGGAAAAATTAAAAAGGCCTTGAAAAAAATTGGTATGAAAACTGGAGTTGACAATTTATGCGTTTTATGAAGATGTGTACTTTATGTGACGTAAAGGAATTGACAACATTAACTGGGTTGATTAAAGCCAAAGTTTCAGAAATCAGCTGACGTTTGCGTATGCCTGAAAGTTTTAAAGTTCCCCTCTTCTTTAGGGCTCATGAACTAAGATAAAATTATATAACTTCAGTCAGCTGTTATTCGTTTACGTATACATACACATTTCTAATTTCACATAGCTGGACATTATTTTCATAATTCTAAGAGGACTTTATTTCCATTAGGTGAAATTAATTAAAATAACATCGTTTAATGAGTTGTTTTAAATGTGTATGATAATCGAGATAAATTGAGCTTGATTTAGCAATGAATATTATTCTGATATAAAATATAGTATAAGCGAGCTTTAAGATTGAGGACTTACGTTTTACTATAAAACTAGATGGATAATTTGTATTTATCTTTTAAACCCATGATGCAATAATAAGGTGATGTATCAAAACAAAAACATCTGTTTTTGTCTCGATTTTCTGTAAAATTTTTCCTTATTTTATTTCAAATGGTTGGCAACACTGCACACACTACCAACTTTGACAGTTAATCCACTTGATTTCAGACGTCACTTAAATTCTGTTCACAAATCCAGTGGATTATATTTGGCATAAACGCTATGGAATTGACATTTGAGATCGAGTGGATTTCGTAAATCTAAACGCACTTTATATAAAATTTTATTAAAGCATGGAGAGTGCGTTTAAGCCACATACTAAATTAGCAAATAAAACACAACTAATAGTAGTTGCCAATGATACTTAATGCTATGTTTACACCAAATGTGTTTTAATTAAAAAAACACTAATTCCCTTGGAATATTTGTGAAATAAATGTCACCTTTTCTTCAAACTCGTTTAGTGTAAACATAACCTAAGACTTGTTTGAAGCGATATGGCCACACATTACGTTCTGTTAGTATAACACTAAACTACATTAATTACCAAAACACAGATAAAACTAGAAATACAATAAACTATTTAATAACCATAAACTTGTGATTATCTATTTATATAGCCGAATTGTTTTCAATAATATTTAAATTTCAAGTCATTTATTTTATTTTTATCACACAACTGCATACATAACTATGTGTTTTATGGATTTTTCCATTATGTTTACATTTATGTGATACGACTTAGGTTTCTGTTTTTTTTTCTTGTTTTGTTTGTTTAATTTTACTTACTTTAAACTTTGACGATTATTCATGAAGTCGGCTAAGAAACTGACCGGTGGACTATGACTAAAGATGGGTGGACTGTGAGATATCATAGTGATGCTGTTTATTTTATGTCGTTATACGACGACAACCTCACGACGACGATGGCGTTGAACGACTAACTTTAATAATATCTCTTAATCTGTTGCTCTCAAACAAATTAGGCTGACTCGGTTGGGTAACCAAGCGGTGTATTTATGGCGATAATTGTCACAACAACAATAACAAATTTAGTGACAGATTAGAATATGATGATGGTGATGATAATCGTATGTTGTGTTGTTGTTGTTATCGCCTTAGTAGCAGCCTGAGTTTGGATTTTAAATTTTTTTGCTATAATCACAGTAAACGCACAACAAATGAACGACACACTAACCAATATTTGCAGAGATGATTTGACGTTTGTTTTTAATTTAATCACAGTTTTAAATTTGTTTTATAGTTTTCTCTTCTTGTGTTGTTTGTTGTTCTTTAAATAGTTACTAGTAGTAGGTACCTTGCCTGCAAAGAGAAAACAATAAGAAAAAACGAAAAAAGAAAAGGTAATCATTTAGAAAACATATTCCGACAACAGCACACGACAACAATAACTACAAAATGTAAACAAAACAATTTATATAGTGAGAAGAAGAAGAAGAACAAAATATCAAAATAAACAAACTAAGTGCGAATAAATGGCATGGCATTTGTTTAGCTAATTCGAAGTACTCTATAATAATAGGCATCAATTATTTTATATTCAAAACAAAAAAAAATATATAGAGTGATGGTGTAAACAAGATAATAAAAAAAATATAAACGGGGAAAGTGTTATGTTGAGTTAGGTTACAATTGTTATGACGTTTTTGTTTTTTGAGTCACATGACAAAATTGACACATTACAATTTAAGACGCTCTAAATTAAAGACAATATTTATAGAAAGACACAGTAAAAAATAAATACACTCTGGCACTAACATTGGTTTGTTTTTCTTTTTAATTAAATAAGTCGTTTACTTGACATATATACACTGGAGTTGACAATTTATGCGTTTTATTTGACGTACAATTAAAGGAATTAACAGGGTTGATTAAAACTTAAGTTTCAGAAATCAGCTTATGTTTTTTCGATTTCTATATCAAGGTACAAAATCCTAGCTTTTTAGACCATTATTAAAATTGTGTAACGTTAGTCAGCTGTTATTTGTTTACGTATAAATACTCATTTCTACTTCAACATAGCTGGACATTAGACGTTGCTATTTTGGTGCTTTTAGGAAAGGTGATGCATTTTGTGTGCAAAAACAGTGTTGTACATTGTCAGGCCCATTCGTTATATCGCAAAGTTTTTTAAGATTTAAAAGGTATAGTCTAAACGAGCCCTTACTTTCATTTAGGAGTTAAAATTTGGATGATTGTTTTTTTATATGCAGGAAACATAAGCGAGTAACCTAGAATTTACACAAGACAGAATAGTTGTAGTATAAATTGTCAAAAACTTTGTTCTTGTATTACGTTCTGTAATTACGTCAACAAATATCAGCTGATGGGTATTTGTTTGCGGATTTATTGAGTCATATAAGGCAAATCTTCAACGTTTACAATTTATTGCAACTAATGAGACATTTAGAAAATATAAAATAGAGCAAATAAAAAAATTGGCATTTTGAAATACCCATAACAGGAATTGTATGATATTATAGTACATTTACATTGTACAGGATTTACATAATCCAGTGGATTTAAATTGGCAATTCTATTGCAAATATGTCAAATAAATCCATAAAAAATAAGTGTAAACAAAAAAGTTCTAATGTACATGATGTTTTTGTTAGCTTGTGTTTCATTTTATGGGACTGAGAATTCTAGTAAAAGTTTTACCACTAAAAAGTTATTGTTCTGTTTCAATTTCACTGAACATTTTATTCGGCAATTTTTTTCTTTTTTCAATAGCGCATTGATAAAAAAAAGTACACGCCCATTTTTTTATCGTCAATGTTTATAAATACAGTGTTATTAATTTACTAACTTGACTGCCGATTTGATAACTAACATATGTGATAAGGTGTACGCTTCACGCACTAAACAAATAAACATACACAACTTTTCAAATTGTTAAAAGAACGAGATAAAATATTTTTTTAAGAACAAATAAGATCTAACACACTATCTGCTGTAACCACTCTGCTTAAGAAAACTTTTTATTCAAATGCTATGGTGTGTACCCCGTTTAATTTTAATCAGCTGATTAGTAACTAAAAAGCGTTTAGGCTATGTCTTCTAAATCTTTTAGATTTGTAAATCGAAGAACTAAATACAAGCTGTTTTGACTACTATTATAATGATATAAAGTTGCAAGTAAACTAAAATTTGTTAACGTAGAAATTGGCACGAGGATTTATTTGACATATATACAATGGAGTTGACAATTTAAATCCACTTTAATTTTTTACTGGGTTAACCTACATTATGAAAATTTTTTTTTGACATGTATATAATGGAATTGAAAATTGAAATCCACTAAGTTAACGAAATCCAGTATAATGTAAACGTACTATAACATTCAAAATTGTGTAGTGCAACCATTTTTTTAATTGGTTGATAAATTACAAATCATAAAATTTTCAGAAATATATTGAGCGATCTGATGCTCTGAACCTACAATTATATTATTTCGAATTTTCCATTAAAAGTTTTCCCAATTTTTGAGTACGGGAACATACCAAATATAAATGTAATTAGTTTTTGATTATTTGTTACTGCCAAAAATTTCCCCAACCCACTGTGCCTGTTCGTGTGCCATACATGTAAGGTGTTAATTAGTAATACTACTGTGTGTTATGATAACTTTATTTTTATTAGAAGGAGAAAAAAAACAACAACAAAAATGCGCGCATCATAACAACATTTAAGCATCAGTGATACTAACCTTAAATCTTGTTACAAAACTAATAGACACTGTTTACACTGAACGTTTTTTTCTTTATCAACTGGATTTGGTTGATTGACTGGCTGGTTGTGTGTCTTTTTGTCTGCCTGATAAAAGAAATTCCTAGGCAATGGCAATGATGTTGATTTATTTATGTCTTGTCGATTATAATAGGACTCTTTTGCAGGAACTGTTTTTTTTGTTGTGCGTGTTTTGCTTCTTCTTTATTTCTTTTTTTTTAAACTTATTTATGAATATTATCACAAAATAACACTGGTGGTGTTGCTAGCCAAGGGTTTATTTTCCACTTTTAGCAATTTTTCTTCTTTTATGTGATTTTGATTTCTTTTTTTCAAATTTTCCTCTGAAGAGCATGAGGTTGATGCGTGTTATTTTTTAAAAGTTTTTTACCGTGTGTTTTTGTATTTTTTTTTTTCAAATTTTGTATGTTTATGATTTTTTAGTTTTCTTTTTGCTTTTCGATTTTTTTTCAACAACCGGTGTTTTTCTTTTTGGATTGTTGTTGAAATTCTTTATTTCCCTCAAATTTTTCTTTGCGATTCTGATTTATTTTACACGTAGAGGGTTGATTTTTGACTGAAACCGTAATTAGTTTTCACACAAAGTATAGAGAGCAGTGTTCGAAACCGTTTAGTTTTAACTACTTTCAATTATCAACTTGATGTGAATACGAACGGCAAACAAAACATAAACAAATTTAATTTTCTTTTTTTAAATAAAACAACAAAAAAATCTTTGGCGTATTTTTTGTTGTCTCAAAGCAAAAGTGGGTAATATGGAAAATATAATCCAAAATGTCGCGCACCGCGTTCCGGACTTTCTCTGATCTCGTTCGACGTTATGCCTGGTTGGCGGATCAACGACGAATGATCATTCCTTGTTGTTTATCGCATAACAAAAGGTGTTGTTCGAACGAGTGAGCAGACAAGCGAGCTAGCAGGCTGGCTGGCTAGCTGAGCGAGCGACAAACGAGTATTCTACAACAAAATCGATAATGTGTATACGACGGCCGACTCTCGAATGCGCTCAATACAAGACAACGAAAATACACAACCACAACGAAACGAAAAATAACACCAACAACAACAGCACCCAACAATTATCAGTGGAACCAGCAGAGGCACAGCATTCACCGCACATCGGATGCCAGATCTGATGGCAGGCAGACAGGCAGTATGTGCAGCAGTAGGAATAATTAATACATACAGTAAGTGTGCCTTTATTGTTGTTTTTGTATTCACGACGATACGACTGAACCACCACCAAACCCATTTATCAGTGTTGGCATTTGGAAATGTGTGTATATGTACGTTGTATAATTTTTGACAGACACTTGCTGGTAAAAAAAAATTAAAAAATCAGTTTTGAGTATTTTGAGTTTTTTTTTTACGAGGATTGAATTTGACGGATATTCAATCCTCGTAAAAAAACGTAATTGTTCCAAACGAGAGATCTACGGAGTTTAATGCGCGTTCAGACTATGTCTTTTAAATCGAGATACCAAATCCTAGCTGTTTAGACTAGTATTAAAATGATATTCATATTACAATCAATATTTTCGTTATTCCAATAGGATTATCTTTCATTAAGTGAAAAATTCATACACATATATGTTATTTTAAACAAATTTAAAATTTCAGCTGTTGTCAAATTTTTGTTAGAATACTATGCGCAAATTTATAACCTATTTTGAAACATACTTTTAGGAGAAGTGATTTTTTGGTGTAAAATCAGGGTTGTATTTGAAATTATCTCGATTAGACATATTATTTTGAGCAAATATATAGAAGCTGTGTCTGTAAGTAAGCTCTATTTCTGAGAGCAAGCAGTTTTTATTCTCTGAGAAATATCCAGTAAGATTTTGCAAAATATTACGTAATTCCACAATGAAATCTTTGGTCAAAATTTTAAATTAACAGCTGATACATCGAATTCGAACACATCTCTTTTGCTGGACTTTGGAGTAAACAGCCAGCCACCCAGTAACATTTGGTAACAATTGTTACCAAATATCGAGTAAACAGAACAGCTATAATTTCAGATTGATATAATAATTAAATTTAAATCATGTAGATTATCAGGTTAAAAGCTATAATCTAAAGGCGAATGTAAACTATGAATTTTAAATCGACACGATTTGTTAATCGAAGTACCAAATCCCAGCTGTTCAGACATGTATTAAAATGATATAAAGTTGACAGTCAGCTGTTTTTTATTTACGTATACATACACATTTCACTCCTTTCATAATTTTCGTAGAAGTTATTATTAGTTCAAACATGAGTGAACATATTTTAATTTTTTCAGCACTTGTCATATTCTTGGAGCAGCTGTTTTGAATTCTAACGAATTTAAAGCATATCTGTAGGAGCTGCGAATATTTGTTGGTACCATAGCAGTGTTGTATCTGAAATTATCTCGGTTTAGCTATGCCTTCTAAATAGACTCGATTTGTAAATCGAGGTATGAAATCCTAGATTTTTAGACTAGTATTAAAATAAAAGAGTTGTATTAAAAAAACACATTAGTCTCATTTGCGCCCATGCCCCGACCGAAGACAAAGATGAAAAGACATATTTTACGAGCGAATAGAATCAGCATATGACCCCATGTTAAAGTAAACAGTTAAATACATTGTTAAAGGGTGTAAAGTGGAACTAGTCACTGGAGAACTAAGAAATTACGAGTTTCTGATTACGAACTAGTTCCTCTTGCTAGCGGGTGATTGAAAATTAAAATAATCTGTTATGAGTAATTTGAGTTTTTTTTAACGAGGATTGAATTTCCGTCAAGTACAACTTGAGCATATGACCGCTGCCCGCCCTGGCCATGATATTAAAATTCTGCAAGGAGTTTTTAATGCAAAAATCGAAACAGAAAATATTTTTGGTCCCACCGTCGGAAAATTCAGCCTCCATTAAGAAACATACAAAGGTATGAGGTTGATTGGCTTCGCGGCAGCAAAAAACATGCTAGTTAGCAGCACCAGATTCAAGCATCTCAATATACACAAGGGCACCTGGATTCCTTCCGATCGAACAACTATAAATCAAATCGATCATGTTGTGATAGACGGAAGGCATTCAACCAGTGTTTTAGACGTTCGATCGATGCGATTAGCGAATATCGCAGCCAAGGTTCGCACTTGCCATAATGTAGCAGCAAATGTGCGTTCTAACACAACACGGAAACTCGACGTGGAAAATCTGCAAACACAAGAGGTAGCAGAAGCCTACTCCGCTCAACTTGCCCACCTGCTTGACGAAAGCACTTCTTGTTCCGATAATACTATAGAAGCACAATGGCAAATGATTGCCCACTTAGGGATACGTAGTCGAGCACAAAAGTTGACTTTTAGACTTTTCGATTTTTCCTTTTGACCAAAAAGTCGAGTTTTAGACTTTTAGATTTTTGCCTTTGACTAAAAAATCGACTTTTCGATCTTTCGATTTTACAAAACTGTTCAAAATCGATTTTCGACTTTTAGTGACATCTGCAAAATCGACCAAAAATTTGATTTTTTATAAGAATTATTGTTAACAGATAAAGCAAAGTCCCGGAAAGTGCAATTTTTGGGCAATCGAAATCGAAAGTCGATCTTGAAAAGTCGACTTTACGATTTTCTCATAGATCAAAAGTCGACTTTGACTTTTAGACTTTTCAATACAAAAAGTCGATTAATCGACTAGTCGAAAGACGATTTACTTATCCCTATGCCCACTCCCTACAAAACAAAAATTGGGTACCAAGGACCACCATTAAGGATCCCATAGTACGATCAGGAGTGTCGTAATGCTACTGATATGAAAAACGTAGGACAACCCTGCAGACAGTAGCAACAAGCAATGCGAGAGAGGATTATCGAGAGAAAAGGAGAGAGGAGAAACGTATTTTCAGATAAAAAGAAGAAGGAACAAGGAATACGTGAGCAAATCGAGATGTACAGGAGTCTGAACGAAGTCCGGAAATTTTACCAACGAGTAAAATAGGTGGCGATGGGTTACCATCCGAACTATTCAAGACTGGTGTTCAGGAGCATGCACCAGCTGATTAGTACAATTTACCTAGAGGAATGCATGCAAAATGGTTGGAACCTCAGCATCCTATGTCCCTATGCACAAAAAAGGACACAAGGCGATATGTGCCAACTATAGAGGAATAAGTCTCCTTCCCATCGCTTATAAAGTACTATACTGAAGCCAATGGCCAATGATATTATTGACCCATAGCAATGCGACCTGGCAAATCCACCATTGACCAGATCTTCACTCTGCGCCAAATCCTGGAAAAGATCTACGAAAAACACATCGACACATTCCACCTATTCGTCGACTATAAATGTGTTCAAAGGGGTTTAAAGCCATGTCTTCGTTCGGCATTCCTGCTAATTTAATAAGGCTATACAGAATAACTTTAACTGGCACAAGATCAGCAGTTAAAGTCGGAATGGACCTTTCGGAGCCTTTCAGACAATGTGACAGTCTCACGTGTGACGTTTTTAACATCCTGCTGAAAAGGTCATAGATGACGCAAAGATGAACAGAAATGGTACTCTGTACACCAAACTACACATGTTACTCGCCTACGCCGATGACATCGACATAATGGGTCGATCATTACGAACCTTTGAACAAATTGAGAAGGAGTCTGCCATAGTAGGTTTGACAGTAAATGGCGAGAAAACCAATGGTATCAACTCGCATGTCGTCCAGTGGACTCGGAGAGGTAGTCAACGTTGTTAAATACCTCGGTTTCACCATAAGTAAAACTAATGACTCATCAGTTTTGAAATTCGAAGAATATCTTGGCCAACAGATGTTATTATGGTCTAAGTATGCAATTCTATCCGTCCTGGTGTATGGATCAGAAGATTTAAGTGCCGATCTGCGTCTACGGTGAATATCGGCGTCGAATGAACACGAGCTTTACCATCTAGACAAGGACATCGACATATTCAGTCGTATTGAGCTGTGGCGACTACGTTCAAAAGGCATATAAAATCGAGCCAACTGATTGT